ATATATATATATATATATATATATATATATATAATATAAACCACTTTGTAGAACAGTGCTTTATGAAGTTCAGTCCATTTCATTCTATTAGTTGACCGGCAGATCTGCCAAATTCAATATGGAAGACGCTCCAACGTACCATTGCAGCGGGCCAGCCCGCTCAACGAGGCATCTACGTATATATGTCTATGCTCTGGAGAGACTCCAATGCAAGTCACTGTGTTTATGACGTAGTCCACGATCACCTTTGGGTCACTGTTTGTGAAATATGCCTCCATCCAAAATTTGGTCACGACTAAATCCGTCAATGCAGCCAGCAATGCCATACAGCTTCAGGTTATCATTCATAATTTTACCGCAGTTCTAAGACTGCTTTTTCGTTCATAATGTTTTTTGGGTTTTTTTCTGGGTGTGGCCCTATAGCTCCATCATAATGAACTAACTAAACTAAGCCTAAAGAATTTTTGACAATTTCTTAAAAACACCAGTCCAGAGTTTTGAGAAAACCGTCTGGTCTTCTGGACCCTCCAGATCAGTTAACTGAAAATTAGATCATATTTTCAGTGAAATTTGCACATGTCCATTGGTGGTTGAGTTTGTATATTTTTTATTATTTATTGGTACAGTGGTAGAAATCTCATTTGCCATGCAGGTGGCTCAAGTTCGATTCCCGGCCAATGCATTGGTGTACATAATCTGAGTGTGCGTAGATCATGCAGATGACATGGGTGAACCAAGGATATGTAGGCACATTCACTCTGATAATGTGCAGGAGTGTTTAGGGTGGCACGGTGGCACAGATAGTAGAGCTGCCGCCTCTCTGCGAGAAGGTTGCTGGATCAAATCCTTTTCTGGATGGTGTTTGCATGTTCTCTCCGTGCACGCGTGGGTTTTCTCCGGGTACTCCGGTTTCCTCCCACAGACCAAAAACATGCATGTTAGACTGATTGGTAACACTAAATTGTCCTTAGGTGTGAGTGAGAGAGTGAACGGTTGTTTGTCTCGTTTTTCTCTATGTGTCCCTGTGATGGACTGGAGTCCTGTCCAGGGTGTCCCCTGCCTCTCACACAGTGACTGCTGGACATGAGCACCAGTGACCCTGTGACCCAAAAAGGAAGAAGCACGTAAAGATAATGGATGGATGGAGATGAAATGCAAAACTCAACAGCAACATCCAGCTGGGAAAGACGTGCCTCTTCTGGGGGAGGTTGAAGTCCGTCTGTAAATTTTTACAGAGGATCTCAAATAATCACCAAGTGAGCTAATATAATAATCACAAGTAAAATCACAGCGGTAATATATATATATATATATATATATATAT